AAATAGTGAAGCAACATCTGGAGCCACGAGAGGTTTTAGAAAGCGATGTGCCCACTTGTAAGGCAGATATTAGGGTTCGCTGAGAGCTAGGTTGAGAAAGGAGATGATTGGGTAAGTCTTAGTTGTTAGATATCTCATCAAAATCTGCGACGCCATGTCATTTTCTCAACCAGTAAGCTCTTTACCGGGATCCCCTTCGACTTCTACTCTTTCATATCTTGTGATGACTTGTGATGATCACTTGGAAGTTTATTCGCCTTGTATTATAGCAGCCCTGACCAATGAGTCCCCTACTGAGTCGAATCTTATTACTAAATACATTTTAAATGAAACCAGCTTACCGCTTAGGTGGCCAATCGGATCAATTTTGCTTCAATATTTTGACTAAATGCTATGCGTGCTCTAAATTCGTAACATTTTCTGGAAGGCACGACTTCCCGTCTTGAGAATGAAATTCTTCAGAAAGTAGTAAACAGTTATTCGAATTGTTCCACAACGTTAACATGAAATGAAAAGGCTATGGATGAGTCCTATGGAAATCTAATAATTTGAGTTGCCAAAAAATGAGCGGCCGCTTAAGGACCTCCATGTTTGCTTTCTTTGGAAGTTGGGCACTTAATTTTTGGTAAAAGTTCAAAGCTTCTGAGCCAAGCAGATTTTTGTCGAGCTATTACGATGGTGAGCAGCGCTTGGTGTAGGTGGAGTCGTCATGAGTAGTTCATTGTTAGGATTCCGACCTTTTTTGAGGCTCGTCATTCTGAGTTTCAACTTAATAGGAGCTGGTTTACACATTTCAACTAAATAGTGCTGGTTTACACAAAGTATAATGTAAGAGGTGACATTTCGACAGGTTTGAAAAGATTTTCAAGCCTGTGAGGACGACGAGTTTGTCGAAATGTCAGGGAAATAAACGTCCCATCATTGAAAAACCTGTTCGGCACAAAAGTATTGAATACTCATTGGGCTGTAGGAGTAAAAGAACGCCATGAACCTTAACCCTTATTTATCAATATCGGTTCATAACATAACCGATCTTGAATGTTTAGATTGATCAGCAACAATTTTGTGAACGATATGTTGAATGTGCAGCAGTGGCAACGCTTGAGGAACGACTTTGTTTAGGTAACTTTTTTTTTTGTTCTAACTGAATACTTCCGTGAAGCGGTGGCGAGTAGTGGAAGCTATGAGGTACCGCCTCTGCTCACACAATCCGGGTAACAACACAGGAATGCCGACAATTATCCAGGCCTCATAAGGCATCCAACTCTTTGTCGTACGCTAACCGGAGCAGACACACCTATGAATGTAGAAGCACTGCATTGTACATTGACTGCCCCTCTGTACGTAGAATGTCTTAGTTGGGGCAAAAAGGCATTTAAAGACCACGAGGATACTGGACAGAAGCCGATAGCGTTTGAGAAAGGGATCGGGAGACGCCAAAAATTTTTTTTAATCCTCCACGATCATTACATTTGTGTACAAGTAATACAACAATCTGTGGTTAGTAGCAACACCAGCAAATAAAGTGCAGATCTTGCTAATCAGCTCAAATTTCATTCTTTTTATTTTTATTCAGGGTAATAAATGACAGCCGAAAGAGGTGGTTCAAGTGTGGTTTTGCTCAACTTTTCACGACTTAATTAAATATCTCCTTACCTTTATCTTTGATTTATTTGATCTTTCTATCGTTGATTTTTTTATTGATTGACTCATTTATGTGAATCCATTTACTTTTTGTTTGACCGGTATCCTATCCACATGAATTTTTTGCAAGACTCCTTTCATCAGTCAAAAAAGAAGGTAGATGAAGTGGTTCAGCTACCTGCATACTTATATACATGTGTCCACTCTGAAGAGTTCTGTCAGAGTAGTCGTTGACTGAACCTCATCCACTTGCTTCATTCTGGTCCTTCCCTTCGGTGAATAGTCACCCTAAGCGGTATTTTGCCATATTTCCCAGTTTCTTACTGTGTAACAGCTTGTTAAGTTTGATATGGATGAAATTTCACAAGAGACCTTTTCTTTTTCAAAACGACGGTCTCAATTTGGTCGATGCCAACTTTTTTTTACTGATTTTTACCTCGAGTTCAGGATTTTTTAAATACTCACTAGGAGTTTATGAGTTTTTTTCATATACAACGAAGTTCGTTTTCGTCGATCATTAGCTGTTGATTGTCGTCGCAGTTCGCTACCAACCCGGACTAACCCGAACTTGTATGGGGGCGAATTCTCCGATCGCTCTACTTAACTGGATAGTTAACACATTAGACAATTCCGAAAAGTTGGAGTACCCAGAGTTGGTTAATTTCCTCAGCAAGCATTGTCCTCGAGATTACACCCAGGTTCAGAAAACGTACCGCATAAGTGTGGAACGATGCCCTAAAACAAATCGAACATATGTATCAACAGGAAGATATATTTTCTAGCTCGAAGCCTATACAAGTTTGTGGACCGTGAGAAAACGACGCTCTCGGCCGCTGTGCCAATTTTATCGTCACTGCGCTTCTGTAATCACATTTGCGCCCATTAACGACGTCTTGTTCAAACGGAAAAGCAACATTGTATTTCATTTTCTCAACTGAAAATTCTTAGCATTCAATACACAGCTGGGATGAGAATGAGCCACTCCATGTTGTACGAAAACTGCTTCCAAGGGAATAGAGTAGCCAGACGAAGAAACTCGTTCCACTGAATCGATTCCAGAGGTGAAGAAAGTATGAAGTCGAAGCACGGATGTTTTCTCACACTTTTCGAGCCTTGTTAGTTACAACTCTGATCCTAAAAGCCTTAAAAACCCATCAACTCTGGGCAAGATTGATAGGCAATTTTGTGAAGTGATCCAAAAATTTAGGAGCAGTAGTCGACCCCCCTCGTCAGTTTGTCAGGAACCTATCCGTGCCAAAGACTCTCTATTAAGGAAAGTGGGTGAAATCTGAAAAAGTGATTTCGAGGGGAAAATTTTGGATATTAAGACCTCAAACTCAATTATTCAAAACCTTTTTTATGCTATTTTTAAACCAATTTGTCAACCCGTACCGACCCCACTCACGACTATGGCAGCTCCACCCAGTGATTTGCTGGGGGACGGATCATTTGTTGTTCTCGATACTTTTCACATATTGGATAACCATTTGCTTTTGTTAGTAACGACCCCATAGTCGTGGCTCCTTGGTAGGTAGATAATATTTTTTAGCAAGACCTTCAGACAAGCTGGCTGAATATCTCTGACTTTTTAAGGTCTTCTCTGTAGAGAATTTTCGTCAGAAGTTGCTTGTAACCCAAAATACTAGCGTTCCTCTTTTACCAACTTTTTTCGTCCAAAGACTGGGTTCGAAAATGGGAAAATTACACTTACGTATCCATTGTATCCGTATGCCCTCACNAAAAAAAAATTAGAACAGAAGAGTGTATGGGCAGAGCTTTGGTACTGGCAGTTGTTTCGAAGTGTTTGTGGTTCTCGCTTTTCTTCGAGACTATACGATAATCAACCAGGAAGATTACCCATAACGGCTTCACTCTCACCTAAAAGCTTCCTAGTAGAAAGTCTTTAAGAGGTGGCTACGCTGTGAGGTTAAGGTGAAGACCTGTTGAGTAAAAGATAGAAATTCGCAATAGTTGCGGAAAATATTGTGTTGCAGGAAACTCACGATTACGTCCCTACTGGTTGCCAGACTCAACAGACAAGTACGGCTGTCACGTAAAATTACGGAATGACTATATTACCGTAAGATAATTAGTAATTAATTTATTAGGTAATTCTTGTTAGTTTCCATAAATCAGGAGTTGCTTTGAACCTTGAGGAAAAGAGATACGACAGAGCAGTAGCCGCTCTCAACTTTCGTTGGAACAGGGCTTCTTTAGTGAAAAAATCGCTGAAAGTACTTTTTTAGTTAGAGAAAATGGAGGAAAGCCTCGATCAACTGTTAACGACTTGCCTTCAACGAAATTCTGCTCCGTCTGCCACTGCAGTAAGTCTTTCTGATTTGAAAGCACTTCGAACGGATTTGAAACTTCTTGGGCAATTGACCTTTCCAATTTCAGCAATCTTGATAGTTCTGGTTTTGAACTTGATAGGCTTCCTTGATAACCGAATATATCCTACAATTTCTTAAACATGAAAAAAAATTAGTCCTTTAAAGCCAATGGCATAGCAACCAGCCCGTGCATAGCTTACAATGAACTGGGAGGCGATACAGCTTTTGTAGGACTTCCTTATTTTTGGCTTTTGTCCTGTTTGCTATTCCTTGTTACTTTTGATTTACTCAACTTCATCTTATTCCTTAACGTTCTGTTTTACCGTTTTGCTTTGATATTTCCTTTTCATAAAATATAGCTTTCACCGCTTTTGTGCTGTCTAAAAAAAGCCAGAGAAGGGCTATATAGAATTGGCAACTTCAGTGATACAGTACCGCTACGGTACCGCTCAGCCAACTTTAGTTAGTCTCAGCTGCGAACGAGAATCTTCTGTCGAGCTTATTCTGAAAGTCGAAAGTATCTCCGACTCGCTTACAATTTCGAGAAATAGCAGTGTTCAGACGTCATAATGAGGAACCTCTTTGTCAGCAGCTTTTGCACTTTGCCCTTTTCCCTTTTCGTCACTTCGTTTCTCTAGTATAACTTTGGGATACGGAATGCACAACTTCTGGTTTCGTTGTTGATAATTTCTTTGACCCAGACCTCAACGAGTTGGGTGTTTTGTGATGAGTCGAAAAGTTCTATGATGAGCTCTACACCGCCTGAATTTCGGACATATTCAAACAGCTCTGTACTGCTACTATCACTTTCCAAAAAATACCTCTTATCCTATCTCAATTCCAAACTGCAGGGGGTTATCTCGCGATTCGTTCGTTTTAGCTTCTTCTTCGTAATACAGGGTTATGCTAAGAAATTGTGAAACTTAAAAAACTGGTACTTATATCGAAAACAATAAAAACAATCTGATAATGACTCCATATTTATACTGGAACTCATATCTGAATTTCCTTTTGAAGGATCTGACAATGGAGCAGGAAGTAAGATTGTCGAAGGAGATCACTGTGTTACAGACGGGTACCTGCAACATGAGGACACTGCAGTCTGCACGGCAGTTCTCATACGGTCGTACTATCAGCTATATACCAACGCACTGTTTTACTGGCGTTCAACGACGAATTGAACGAGAATGTGGTCGGGTACGAGACTGCTGCCCAGCCCTATCCAGGTGGTTATTTTATTACATTTATTTTATTGATTTCACTCATAGCCTACTATGCTCGAGGAGCTCGTGCGCGCTTTTTTTAATTTGTTTTGTATAACCCGATGCTTTGATTCCCCTATTGATCCGAATAAAAATCGAATGCATGGCGCATCCAAGAGAATGTCTGAATAAGTCGAGTACAGTGAGCTTTCTCACACTGCTCAGTGTCTTTTTATTTTCACTTTTATCATATCCTAACGAGTTTTCGTTCAATTATAGGATTCTATTCTATCCTTCAATCATAGGGTTCTATTCTATTCTATCCAGATTCAATAGTTCAGATTGGGGGCTAGCTTTCCTTCACCTTTCCCACGACCACAACCCATGACAAGACAGATACCGCGGCTGCCCGAACGACCTCGTTAGAGAATCATTATCAGCGGTCTTTAACTTCTCCCTTTTTGTAACTTCGGCATTATAATAAAAACAATAATAATGATCAATAATTGGTGATTATGTTTTAGATTTCTCTTTCACAGCTCATTTTCGCTTTTTCTCCCGACAGTATTTACATCGCCGACCTAATTGAAGCGTAATCCCGATATCATTGAGGCCGTCTCAACGATCATCACTTCACCTGACTGATTGCCTTGTACGGGGATTAGAAAGAACCGCCACTTGATGGATGTGTTCTAAAAACTTGGTGGGGTTTATAGAGTAGGGGGATCATGTCGAAAATCTTGAATAGTTTAGGTGCAGCTTTCAGATCCATATTCCATGGACACTTCAATAAAGCCCTAACCATTGGATTAGAGCCGGAAGCGACGAAAACCCCACTGGGATGGAAAAAGAATGTCTAAAAGAGCGAACAACTTACAAGACAATCATAGTCGATTAATCGAGATGCGCCACGCTCATGCTTTTTGCGAAAAACGCGGAGAAATTCGGAGGCGTAGTTGATATGGCAATTGTATTCATAGGCAAGGACCTAAACACCTTACGAACTGAGAGAATCACTTGTCCTTTGTTCTCCTCCCTGTCACCGTGTGGTGAAGCCTTAGACGAAAACATCCGAAATCACTTTAGTAAAGTGCTGGATGTGTTTGACTTTGCCCATTACTAGTGTCTAGTCTGATTTTGTCTAGAGGAGTCTCCTGGCCGTTAAGAACCGCCCAATTCTATCCAGGTTTGCCTAAGAGATCGAGTACAGAGACCCTGAGTGGCCACGTTCTGATATCCAACTCGAAACTGGTTCCCACCCTACTAAAGGTATTTTTTTTTACAATGTAGTTGGAGTGGAAGTTTATCGGAATGGCCTGGCAATTCTAATGAAGCGTTACGCTATTTCGCTAAGGGGCTCATTTGAAAGGATTCGAAGATTAGACGGCAACTAGAGTCAGTCTATGTTAATGGCAACAAGCTCGTAAGAGCGTTACAGTCTGACTTCTACTGAGGAGGGGACTTAGGGCGAGGCAGAGTACGTGGGACGTCCTCACGACTATCAACCGAAACTTCGAAGTCTCAATCACTTTTCGTACTAACGAATTTTTTTGCTTTTCGATGATTGTTGTTGTTAGTTGTTGTTTTTTCTTGAACAACAAAAATGTTTAATTGCTAAATAAACTGGGACAATTGTTACGATTTCGGAGATCTTATCAGCATCTCGTCCGGCGTTCAAACAAAAAGTTTGCTTGTCTACTTGAAAAGGGTCACCCATACGCAAAGATTCAGTCTTGGGAGAAGTCTCATTTTTTTTCCACACTTTCACTGATTCGTGCTTAGGTCGATTGAAAGACGAGAATTAAAAGCGGCATTCGATGGAATTAGGTGGGGCACCGAAAATGGGGGCAATGATTGGGACCATCAAGAACAACTGCGTGCAGTAAATAAAATACAAAAGATCTTTCACGCAATACCATGAAACGGTAAAAAGCCCAGCTCCGGCCCAAATGCTTTTGGTAATGCGCCACGCATTTAAGTTTCGTCCAGGATTGCAGGGACTGAGACCGCTGTTCACAAGTTTGTAAAGTTTCTGAATAAAAGGTTAAAGGATCTCCAAACTGGAAAACAGTCTCTAGAAATTTCCCCGACGGATTGATACATCCATGTTTGAGAAAAATCGAAAAGCACTCAGTATGACTGTGTCTTTTGAGATGCTCCTCCATAACCACAAACTCGTCGGCAGCGGAACGAACGCAAGAACTTCGAATACAAATGAGGAAGAGAGCAGAAAACTGCGCGGTTGGTACTCATGTTCTCTTAGGTTCTCAATTTACTGTAACTCATTTTGAAGTTCACCGTTTACAGAGAGGCTTACCTATTACGCCTTTACCAATGCCAGTCGGATACAATCCGCGGATAGGTTTTGATCCATCTTCCATACCTGGCCGAAACATGAACCCCCCAACCTATGATGGTAGCCAAAGCGGGTACGACGCAGCCGCAAGCAGCGGAGATGGCAGTGGATGTGAGTTGTACATCGATTTAAGGAAAAAAGATTGTTATTTTGAAATTCAAAGCCATTAATAAGTAAGATGATCACTTTGAACTTTCTCTTCCGCTTCGGAAAAAGATTAGGAAAGCCTTGAACAGAGAATAGGTAGACTAAGACCTATATCCTGCTTATACCTGGGGCTGGAAGACCGAGTTGAGCTTAGCAGCTCTCAAATCTTCTTCTCAGAAATCTTAGGGGTGTTAACTTCACCTGTTTGTAATGAATTTCATCTTACTAGAAAGGTTTTTTTCCTGACTGGAACCACTTTTTTGTCTTTAAGAACCTTTGCTACGCCAACAGCAGCTTTTTAGTCAGCAGAGCCTCTTTGGACGAGTTCGCCTTCGAGGAGAACTATTTGTGGGTGCTAATGTTATAGGAATAGTTACAGGAAGTGCATACTCACCCCCCTGACCATAACTTTCCTGCGTGTCTGCGTCGGAACACTAGAGCGCAGACGAACAAGAGTCATCTTTGCAAAACTCACGTTTCCCAAGTAATTACGATTTGTGAGCCTTATTCAACTGTGTTCCTTCAACTTTTTCGTTGACTTAAGGGACTACTACCTCTCCCTCCCCTAATCTTTTTGAGCTCTTTACTGTTATCGAGGATGTGTTTCCTACGTGGGCTAGTGGTAGTATCGGTCTTTCCTCTCAAATATTAATATTAATAATTTTTTCCACTAAACGCCGTCTGTTGACCAGCCTCAAGAGTTTCGCTTTAGCAGCTTCGGATTATGGTTACGGCAATGTGAACGTTCATATCACACCCCAAGAATCGTCTGGTGCTTACCAACCTGAAGAAGACGTTGGCATGATAAGCAATCCTGTGCCTAACCGTGAAGAATACGAGAGAGTAAGAAATTCTTCTGTTCTAGGATAAACTATTTGCTGTGAAATAAGGCTTCAAGTGTAAGATGAAGAGGACATTTTAGGCTCGTGCCCGTCAGTCTCAAAATCGTCAAAGCCAAAGTGGAGCTGAATTCACCGAGGAAGACGGATCACTGACACTCTCTGCGAAACCGAAGCTGTCGTTCCCGGATGACAAAATGCAGGTGGCGAAAGAACGTCTACTTACAAACATCTTCTCTTGTCAAATTATTCCATTACTTTTCTTACTTACTGCCTCTTCCTTTTGGTATCCTACTCTATCATTCAGTAGAAGCATTCCCTACCACGCATCTTGATTACTAAAGCTTCTTCTCCCAGCTTCTTCTTAGTACTTCCAAAAAAGCATACGGAACAGCTGGCAGCAATTCAGTTGAAAACTGCTGAGGTGAAATTCAGATTTCCATAACACGGGAAATATTGTCTACTTTATGGGTTATTTACAAAATGCCTATCTCAAAGTAAAAAGTAAGGAGTGCAGAGTGGTAATGTTACGTTCCCAAAATTGAATCCTGGGTCGAGGTCTGCCTAAATTAAATGAAGCTTAGACATGTTAAATACTTTGCCCCGTACTCATCTGAAAGTAGATAAATTCTACTTCCAAAGAGATCATCCTCAGCTAGTCATACTATAGTCATACGCCCTACAATATTGCGATCCTGAACTAAAATTGAAGGGGCACGTTCCCAGAACGGCCAGACTGACGTCTGATTTAACCCTCTTGTCAGCCTTTGTTCACATTGTTCTCTGCGTCTCTTTTGGTCATTAGTTCTTCTTAACGTACAATAGATGAGGAAAAACGAAAAACCAGTTTCTTATATCCCAGATGACGGCTCTCAACAACAATTTCAGGCTATTTCTACTAAAGAAGGCGTTCTGGTGATAAACATGCACCATGAGCACCATAGAGGGCCGTCATCTGTATCTTCTCATGAAAAAGCATTCGAGCATGCTTTACAGAATACCAATAAGTACAAGGCGAAGATGGCTGAACAGGATGCCGGTGAAACCGCTCGTGAAGCTTTGAATAGTTTTCTGAGAGCTGGTCAGGTGAGGGCTGAGAAAGGCTTATATTCTAACAATTCTGAGTCTATTATGGCTAGTCAGTACCGCTTTTAAACCAAAATTCAGGCTGCTGAGGCTTCTGGACCCATTGCCACGGCAAAACTTCCGTCGAAAAATGCGAAAGCTTCCGGATCGATGCGGCCACTGGAAATGATCAATGACGAAGATGTTCCTGCAGATGGAGAAATCGTCACATCACCTCCAGTAATTTTTCTAGGCAAACAAATCAACAACACAAAGGTGAGCTAACGGTTCCCAGATGTTTTCCGATTGGGAATAGGTATGTACATTCACGGTATGCCAAAGAACTCGAAAGTTGGATGGGTGGCATCATCCAAGGCGGATATCAGATTGCTAGTTGCTCACCAATGTTCTGGAATAGGCCAATGCCAGTGGGGCGGCCACCCTTGTCAGCCCCATCTTCCCATCCACTAAAAGGTCCATCTTCCTGTCGTTTCTAGAACATCAGTGCAGCTTTTTGGAGAGCATCCTTTCCAGCAAGAATGGGATTACCCAGATCTCCTTACTGGGGCGTGAAAGAACTATAGTAAAGTCATCTTCAGGGCCTCAATCGATCTGGATCCTGTATAGAACGTATGATGAAGACGCAAACACAGAAACTTCAACAGATCTTGACATTGCTGGGAGAGAAGAAGGATTCAGAGGATATGCATGAGGTGAGTAGGTTCATCAGGTGAAAAGAGGACCTGCAATACAAGAAAAACCTTCACTTTCTAGATCAAAGAGTTAATCGACGAATGGCACAACAGTTTCCGAAATAAGGTCATTTCGGCAAAGGATAAGACGACTAAACTTGAGGTCTGTATGACTTCTTCAGAGTTTGTTGAATTTGAGTAAATCCTTGAAAATAGCCCATCATGTTATAACCCAATTGACGATTTTTCTCGAAAGAGTTCAACTAAGTAAGCTTTAGTTCCCGTGAGCAAGTTCGCGGCAATTACCGTAAATCATCAGTTCAAACCCAAATCATCCCCATGATAGCGCGACTGGGCGCGATCGAGTGCGACTAGCGCAGAGCATGAGTGNCGGTGGAAAGCCAGGACCGTACTAAATTTCAGACCTCGTAGCTTCTGGCGGATATCTAATGGCTCTGAAAAGTAGTGAATGCTGAATTCCTGCTTTTCCCTCGTGCTGTTCAACGAGCTATCGTTTTATGCTTTGTTTTCTGATTACATCTGAGTTCTGAATGATATCGTCCTTTTTCATGGAGCTTCTATACAATTTTCCCTTTTAGATTTCGATAGCGCTGGATAACCTCATCAAACAATTCGACAAAGTGAATCTGGATCTGATCAAATCACAAGTGAATGCTAGTGAGTAACTCAATTATTTAACTAGCATTTGAGGGAATATGCTAGCGATCGAAGTTGAACGTAATAAAATAGAATCTGGCATACTCAAGCGTAGCAGTAGCCCAGGAGGCCCCCTTTTTTGACTTTGAAAATCCTATATTTGTACTAATGGTATCGTCCTTGATAATAAGGTGTGTCTGAGGTTGAAGCTTTTTGGTTAGAAGTTCGGCAATGAAGAAAAGCCAAGTAAATCTATTCTTTAAAAAAGCCTCATGTTACTTACTCTTTGATGGCCTCGATCTATGGCACCTGATCCGTTTTCATAGAGCGTCATCGTTTCGACAAGAGTATCGCAAAGCGTCCTGAGAAAATTGCAATTTGAAGGAGGAACGAAATATTTGGTGTTAGTCAATCTCGCTATGGGAATGCGCCACCTAATTGTCTTCTAGTCAGAATAGTAGTGGCGTTTTAAATGCATGTGCGTCCTATTCAATGGCTTGCGGTGGCCAACCGATATACAAGTTAGGGCTTTATCCTCCCACACGAATCTGGTATCAATCAATCGACCCCAGACAATTGTAAAGTTTGGTTGGTCTAAGCAATTATCGATTCGGGACTAAAGAACAGAAAGGGCTCGAACACTGATTCCGATGCCCTTCGCCGATCAATACTCCCCAGAACGTACGTGTTAAGCTACCTTATAGAGGATTCTGGGGGTATTCTGAATGGAGCATATTTCTTCAAATCTCCACGTGCGCGCAGGGCTGGTCATAAAAAGCCGTAACAAAATCGGAACAAATTCCTTCCGAATTTCTCCTTTTTAATTTTTTTTAACAGCATTCGACGAAAATGACTATCCGGATGGCGATGCCGCAGTTTTTGAAACTGAATGCGATCCGTTAGCTGTGAGTAATATTCTGGAAGAGCAATTACGCCATCAAGAAGAATTAGAGAAAGGTATTATTTAGTTGTATCATATAATAGGATAAAATGGTTTTCTTAATGAGTCAGTTCACTTGGTAAGTGTGCAGTGTGCGTGTACGTGCGCAGTACGTGGCTCAATGTAACATACTGAATTTGCAGGGGGGACGGTCAAGTCGTGCGTTCGAGGGCGCGCGCGGCAAGTTGCGCGGCAAAGTTCATACCTATTCTGACGACTTTGGCACCTATAATTTTGACCCAATTTTGAAGTACAGTAGAATAGAGGGGCCAGCTGACCTCACTAATCTACTCTTCCTCAGATTTGGGCCCCAATGATAAACGCCGCAGTCGTCCAAATTCGCCACGAACTTCGTCGCGCAGTTTGCCGCGCGCACCCTCGGACGCACGACTTGACACACACCCAATTTGCAGGCTTCCATTATCTGCTTTTCGCTTCTGTAGAAACTGCGTGGCAATACTTTTCCACGACAGACAACCCAAACGTTCCTTTGAAATCCCACTAGGGTAGTGTCTTTCCTTGCTCACGACATTAGGTGTAAAGCTCAAAGGGAAAATCACGTTAACTCGCATACCTTTGAAATGATCAACCCGCTTTGGATCTGCTTGTAGAAAAGGCAGTATAGAGGTAGAATAAAGCTTGTAGAGTTCAATTTATAGGAGAAATTAGAGTAACTAGAAAATGAAGGTTGGTGAACATTTCGCAATCGCGGGATAGCGCGCCGCGCGCGTCGTGTGCGGCGCGGCCTAGTTTCATCAGCGATAGAATCGAGCGCTCCCATGAGCAATATATACATGTAATAGACAGAAAATAAAAATTATACAACTTGTGAAGTGAAAAAGATGACGAGTAAATGGTGAATCTGCTACTCCTTTTTAGAACGGCTCGCAGCGAGGCATAAGTTTGATCGCAAAAATAAGGGCCAGACCGATGAACACGGCGATCACACTGTCGTTGAAGGTGAGTTATAAAGAATTCGATATCTGACAATCACAAAACTCAACGGATCAGTTAAGTAGCAGGCTAAATTTTTTGTTAGTGAGTTCATCAGTCAACCGAGCCACCTAATTAAATGACCAATACAACCCGAATCCGACTTCACTTCCTTTAAACTTCATTGAGCTTTAAACGCAATCCCCTTCCCAGAGGTTTCAACAGGATTTCCCACGACTCCCGACTCCCCGATTTCCCCCTCAGGAAGTGGATCTCAGCATGATCCTCTGCAACCCATCAGCCTTCCTTATCCCTTATTTATTGTTGCGGCTGCGGCCAACGTCTGTAGGCATAGATAGTGCGTCCGGGAAGGCCAATGTGTGAGCTCCAAAACACTAGTTATCATGAAATTTCGGGTGACAGTCGCGCTTGTGGCGTAGTCCAGACGACTTCCCCTACACTTTTGATTCGTTTTTGTTTCACAAATTCTTTCGTACGGGAATCTGCTCCAGACAGGAGGGATTTTATAAACCCGTGTATAGGAGAACAGTAACCCTAAGACACACTCAGACGCCTCCAAACACCCGTCACATCTTCGAAGCCACAAAAAGCCATTGTGGGCGAGGCTTAGGGAGCAGTTGGTATGCGTTGTAAGGTTTACTGTATCACACATTCTCTGGACCTGAATCATCTTGCCCGTTCTAATTTGGAAACGATGTTCCAAATGTTTCTGATAATGATATTGATAATCTGATAAATTTGTCGTTTTCAAATGAATTTCCTCATTTTCAGACGGTGTGACGAAATTGATCCTCTCCGGTAGCCATGAATCCCTGAATGTTGACCATCCGGCGACAAGCGTCGAAAAGAGCAGCGACACCAGTAAGCCAACCGACGAAGAGGCGATCATTCATAATTGGTCAAACAAGGAGTATAAACTGGAGCTAGAGAAGTATAAAAAGGAACACCACATAAACGCAACGTCACTGGAACCGGTAAAATTTTTCGTGCTAACATTTGAAAAGAAAACTCATAATTTATCACTAGTCCATTACGCGATTTGCGTTGTTCCCTAAGTTTCCGACAAGATTTTTGTGAATATTCTTTCTTTATCTTAGTTTTTCCCTGATAGATTGAAGGAATGCTGGAATTCATTGTTTCCGATTTTTCAGAGGAACGAAACGGCGTGCGATTTATACATGCGATGTCGAAATCAGATGCATATGGCTGTTGACAGTTGTGCTTGGCGTTTTGCCAACAGCAAAATCCTTCCAACTCTGGCCGAAAGTGCAGAGAGCCTCTTGTATCGGGTGAGTTAGTCTACAGAAAAAGCATGAAGGGAGAAGAGAAAGGACTTAGCCGTTGATACCCCGCTAGAGGAGACAACGCTTTCCGTACCACGACAGGACTTAAGGAAGTCGCTTTGTCATGAACTAAATATTCAAGGTGTTTTTGAGACTGAATCCTTTTTCCGGTTCCTCCTGGCCTAGCGATTGTCACAAAACCCCTGGAGCTGTAGTGTGATTTGCCTTAGCCCACCTTATACGGCTAGTACGAAATTCTATGGGATCTCTTGATTTTAATCAATCCTAGCTCATGTTTTGTATTTCAAGGCCGAAGAACTGTGCGATCCCGCTGAGCAGCCATTCTACGAAGAGCTCTATGAGTTGATGATTACGCGAAATACTCGGCTTCGAGACTGCCTAGATGAGAAGAATGAGAAATTCGTAAGTATTCCCTGCTAACCTTATCATAACCATGCGTCAATGCACTTTGTTACAGTTTTCGACATCGATCTGTTTACCGTATTCCCCTGTGGAACATCTCATGTATGGCTCAGCATTTATTCGATTGCTCAGCGAAGACTATAAACAGTCTGCAGATTGCTTCCGCGATGCAAATCTTATCCAAGAAAAGTGTACAAAGCTAAGGGAATGCTGTCCAAATTTTGATAGGTAGGTTATCTTTTTCCTTGACGTTGGCGTAGCGTGAAAGGAGCCCGCAGCCGGCAGCGGGGGAAGGGAGCTGCTCGGTGTGAGGATCCCGAACTGATACTAGATAAGCCAATCGAGCCTTCCATCTAGGATCGGCTAATCGATACCAGCTGATAACCACTAACCACTGAATAGTTGGTTCTTCACCTGCGGTCCTAGCCTTGACTTATGAGCCTGGTGTGAAAGCTCACCTCATAGATATAAAAGAGACCGTAAATTTGCTTCTCTAGCTGTTGTTCTAGTCCTAGGATAGAGGCAACAGAGAATGTATCGAATCGTTAGGCCTACCCATGTTAGCCAATCCTGTTATGAGATAGAACAGATAATCGCCTTTCATTCATGATCGTAGTGATGGTTTTGTGGGCATATCTTGCTATGACTACAACTACCTGTGACTTACGACCAGCCGAAATACAGTTTCCTGCTTTTATTCTACCATGCAATCCTGGTACGTATGAAGAGAAATGGAAAGCTTGGTTGAGAGATGGT